CAACTCGCGAAAGGTGACTACTGTAGGTGGTAGTATGCCTGCTGTCCGACACGAACCCCACGTTGGTAGCGAGGGTAGTGCCCGCCCGAACCTCCGGCGTGACAACAGCATACCATCTAATTTTGCTTCACAGCAGTCACCTATCTCGTCTCGGCAATTAGTAAACGATTTTTCTCCGCAATCCGTAGAGACCCCACGAGAAATCGACAACACCAGCAGGACTAGCGACCCTCTAGTGATGTCGAATGCCTCACCTACACACTCTACTGTGCGCGCTGATGAACACCCGTCAGCGCACACTACGGGTACGTCTGCTCGTTTCGTCTCAAAACCCGCAGACCTACTCAAAGATCTTGTTTTCTCAGGGGCTCGATTCTGTGTGGATTATCGCGGTACCATTAATAAGAGTTTAATCCGAAAGTCGTGGCCTATGCCCGATATTAATGCCCACATTGATACAGTAGGTGGAGCAAAGTTTATCACTGTGTGTGACGTGCAGAGCGCGTACCACCAGATACCCGTTGCAGCAGCGGAGCAAGAGAAGACCGCCTTTGTAACTCAAAAAAGGAAAATGGGTTTTTAAACGTCTCCCTTTTGGAATTGCGAACGCCCAGTTTTTATTTGCTCGCATGATGTCATTAGCATTTGCACATTTTGGACCCCGAAGGGGCCTCCTTGTTTACATGGACGACATCATTTGCTGTAGTTCGACTTGGGAAAGTCATCTAACATTGTTAGAAAATACATTTCAAGCCCTTCTGTTTGGGGTGTCGGCGCGTGTACTATGTTATCACGGTCGCGGGCTCTTGTCGAGAGCGTGTTGCACAAAGGAGTGACTCAAGTTCCTTGCTTATTAGAGAGTTTAACGAGTGACAGACGTGAGCAAGAAGAGGCAAAGCCTGCTGCACCAAGTCTGTCTATCATACCCATATCTACCTCATCTGCGTAACCCCCTCGGAGATCTCGGAGAATTGTATCCTGCCGTGTACACACACAAACAGCCCCCCTACTCGGTACGAGATACGATCTACGAGATCCTCCGTACATATCGCCAGGTAAAACGGCAACAAATCTAAAAACCATTCATCTTTCGTATCCACAAATAAATCATCTCAACTCCCGGATCTATCGAATATTCAAGTTTCAGGTTACTACTCCTCCTACGACTATGGAACTTCACTAAGAGTCTTAACAAGCACCCCTCTCGAGAAAATGTCGTCACCACATTCTCAAGCAGTCAAACACAAAGAATTATCCTTGGAAGAATACTCAGCAAATATCAACATTACATCAGAGCCACGTCGTAAAGACTCTGGACGGACAACTCTGGCAAAACGCGCCAACAAATACCTGGAACAAAATCCTCGCACAAAACTGTGTTTCAACTCATTGACCAATCAATTTGAAATAAGCTTCGGAAGCACATAGGCCTCAACCATGTCTTACCAAAATATGTCAAATCCTTCCTCCAATACATCGTTCAGAACAGTCATCAATACCAAATACATGCGGCACAAATAGACAAACAAACGTTAAAAACCCGGCGTTCGAAGACGCCAGAGGAAACTTTCGCCAATTATGCCGTTTCTCAAACATCCAGACATGGACTTCTTGACAGCCCCCCTGCTCCATCATCTCCCAAAACACAAACGCTAACAGCCCCCCTGCTGCAACAACTCTCGGATCCAAACAACGAGAAATCAAACGACTATCATGAAGTTACCTCCGAACTCCGCGGGAAAAACGCGGAATCGCGAATAAACAAGAAATGTGTTTCTTATCCTAGCAACGAGGAATCAGACAAGTATCATGAAGTTGCCTCAAACTCCGCAGGTAAACGCGGAATCGCAAACAAACAAGAATTGAGGACGAAGTTGCCTCAAACTCCGCAGGTAAAACGCGGAAAACGTGAACAAAATGAACAATCAAACCCGAACGTCCGCTAGAACTCTGCTTGTACTGCGGCGAAGATCATGGCATCTCAGCATCACATTCATCCCCCCCCATGATTTCGACAGCAGTGCTAGCAGTGACCCAACAACATCAAGACAACATCAAGAAAAACACACATTGACCAAAAGACATGCCGCCAAACATTAACAGGACACGAACAGCCCAAGAATGCCTCAAAGGTTCATGACAAAGTTGCGGTGCACTGAAAACGCCTCCTTGTGTAGTGGTTTCGTAAGAAAGTCGGCGTGCTGCAAATGCGACGGAACAAAAACGACCTTGAACTCCCCCCGGTCAACACGCTCACGAATGAAATGGTGGCGGATGTCAATGTGCTTGGAGTTGGGGGTTGTGGCTGGGTTATTAGCCAAATGAAGCGCCCCGACATTGTCCTCCTTGATAACAGTGCACCCCACATCCCCATCAGGAAAGATAAAACTCCAGAGATACCGCAAGAAAATCGCCTCCTTCATCCCATCGGCCATTGCAGCGTACTCAGCTTTCGTAGAAGACAGCGTGACGCTCTTCTGAGTCCGAGAGAAAAAAGACACGCAGGACCCCGCGCACATGACAACACCTCCCGACACAGACCGCCTGTCCGTCGCTTTGCTAGCGTAGTCCGAGTCCACGTACACCTCCAAGCTAACACCACCTGCCGTACCCCGCTGAAATGTAATACCGTACGCACTCGTGAATCTAATGTACATCACAATATGCAACGCAGCCTTCCAGTGTACGGACTTGGGCGCGTAAGAATACCGTGCAACGGCACGGACGGCGTTGAGGATGTCCGGCCGAGTTTGATTCGCAAGCCACATCAAGTGCCCCACCAAAGAGCGAAACGGCTCTGTAACGTCAGGTTCACACGCATCAAACTCCTCAAGCTTCACGCCAACGGCCATGGGGGTTTCTTTGTTACGGGTGACACCAAACTTCGCGACCATGGTGGTGGAATACGTCTGTTGGGAAAGCGTGATGGTTCCCTGAGCAAAATCACTAGAAAAACGAATACCAGCGTACAAGCGAAGTTCTCCAAGGTTGGTGATGGGAACGTACTCGTTCAAGTCACTACCAAATTGCTGACACCGACTCTTCTTCCCGATGGCAAAGATGTCATCGACATGGACGACAACGACCATGGCGACAACTCCCGCTTCGATCAAGCGCATGACGCAAGCGTCGGCAGCACACTGTTCAAAACCAAGACTCGTCATGCCCCTAACCAAGTGTTTATGCCACGTGCGGGATGCTTGCTTCAAGCCATAGAGACTACGACGAAGGCGAACAATCTCACCAGAAAGAACACCGCAGCCCTGCGGCAGGCGGAGGTACACACACTCCTGCAACTCTGATGGAACAAAGGCCTGCTCCGCGTCGAAATGACATAAGTCCAAACCCAACTCACATGCAAGAGCTGCTAACAAACGGATACTAGTGACAGACGGGCACGGGGAGAAGGTCTCAAAGAAATCAATACCTTCACGTTGACCGAAACCTCGAGCCACCAACCTCGCCTTTGCACGGACAGGACGGCCATACTCGTTCCCCTTCCACGCGTAAACCCACTTGGCCGTGATCACGTTCGTTCCTCGTTGCTACTCCCCCGCTGCCATCGTCTCGAACGTCCCCGCCGCCGAAAGCCCAGCAATCTCCTTGCGCTCCGCCGCTCGCCAGATGGGATCATGCGGTCCGGCATGTGCTTGCTTGTAAGTTTCCGGAGTCTCCAAGTCGGCAACCATGCCATCCGGCAACGCTGGGTCATCGATATCCGCTGTAGGGCCACTAAGAGAACGGGTCATCTGCTCATCCGCCGCCAGCAGCGCGAAAGCCCCCGGCATGCCGGTTCTGCGAGACCCCGACCTCGTGACGGCAGGAGTCACCTCGTGCTGCTGCCGGTGCATCACCCTCCGCTCGGGTGGCGCGTGGTACATGTCAGCCCAATCTAGCTCCATCGCCGCCTTCACGGGAATTTCACCTGCCGTTGCCCCCACCACCGGTGCCGCCGCTCCTGCCGCGAGGGCCTGCGCCCCGGCCGCCTCCCCCACCGTCGCCGGGGGGAAGACACTGCTGCCGGGGGCCGCCGCTCCAGCTGCAGGTGCTGCCGCCGATGCCGCGGCTCCTGCCGCGAGGGCCTGCGCCCCGGCCGCCTCCCCCACCGTCGCCGGGGGGAAGACACTGCTGCCGGGGGCCGCCGCTCCAGCTGCAGGTGCTGCCGCCGATGCCGCCGCTCCTCCCGAGAGGGCCTGCGCCCCGGCCGCCTCCCCCACCGTCGCCGGGGGGAAGACACTGCCGGCCGGGGGCCGCCGCTCCAGCTGCAGGTGATATTGTGTTTGGGGTGTCGGCGCGTGTACTATGTTATCACGGTCGCGGGCTCTTGTCGAGAGCGTGTTGCACAAAGGAGTGACTCAAGTTCCTTGCTTATTAGAGAGTTTAACGAGTGACAGACGTGAGCAAGAAGAGGCAAAGCCTGCTGCACCAAGTCTGTCTATCATACCCATATCTACCTCATCTGCGTAACCCCCTCGGAGATCTCGGAGAATTGTATCCTGCCGTGTACACACACAAACACCTTCAAGCCGCAGGGCTCACATTGAAACCTTCCAAGGTACAATTCGGACCAAGGGAAGTAAAATATTTAGGTCACATTTTGTCTGCGAAAGGAATTCGAATCGGAGACGACCGCATTAAAGCTATTGTTGACCTGCCTCCTAAAACGATCAAAGAACTCCGTTCAGTTTTAGGCATGATAAATTTTGTGAGGAAGTTTCTCCCAGATTTGTCCACGGTGGTAGCGCCGTTGGTAGACCTCACTAAAAAGAGCACGTAAAATCGATTGCAACACGTTGGCGAAACGAACATGATGAGGCGTTTGCGACAGTCAAACGACTGCTCACGGAAGCACCTATTTTACACTTTCCCGATTTTACAAAAGACTTCGTCGTGCACGTGGATGCCAGCGAAGCAGGTGCTGGAGCTTTCCTTGCGCAGCAAACAGGAGATGACCTCAACATTATTGCGTATTTCAGCCAACGATTCAACAATGCTCAGCGCCACTATTCCCCAACCATGAAAGAATGTTACGCCGTCGTACTAGCAATACAGCACTGGCGGCCCTATTTATGGGGCAGACATTTTGAAGTTGTGACGGACCATGCTGCGCTGAGATACTTGTACACCATGCAGGACACTTCAAATATGCTGGCTAGGTGGGCTATCGCTCTGCAGTCGTTTGACTTTACCGTGCGACACAAGCCGGGGAGGTTACACGTTGTTCCGGATACCTTACCTCGGTTGTTTGCTATTGAGTACCAGCAACACTTAGAAGCCCCGAAACTAACACCGATTTGTAGGAATGTCCCCAAGGATCCTGCTTTGCATGTAGCTGTACCGAACAGACCTTATCAAGTGGCCGCAGACCGCCTGGAAAATTTGAAACCAGTGCAAAGTGATCGCGAATTGTTTACCATTAATTCGGTTTACATCAGCGCGACCAACGTTTTTGAAACGATGAACCGAGACATCTTGCGAAAGAAACAAGCAGCCGAGTATGGGAAATACATCGACTATCTTGTGGGGGAAAACGCACGAGTCCCGGACAACGAAACAGCAACAACCATGTTTTTGTACGAGACGGATTGCTGTTCAAATCGTATTTACCATGATCACGTTTTGTCCGGAGGTCACCTAGCATCTAGACCGACTTATGACAAGATCCGCCAAAAATATTGGTGGCCGAACATGAGTCGGGACGTTCGCACTTGGTGTCAGGAGTGCCAAGCATGCCAACGTCGGAAAACCGCGCACAATCGCACCAAAGTGCCAACTGGACACGTACCAGTACAACGACCGTTTGAGCGAGTTTCAGTGGACTTAGTTGAATACAAGAGCGAATCGATGTCAGCCGCCGGCGTACGATGCAAATATGTCCTATCCATGATGGACCATCTAACCCGATTCACCGTGTTGACTCCGATTCCGAATAAATCAGCTGTCACAGTTGCTCAGGCTATCATTGACCGCATCATAGGCATTTTTGGACCGCCTGAGTTGTTGCATTCTGATCAAGGGCCTGAATTTGAGAATAGTGTGATCCACCAGTTACAGAGTATTCTGAACTACAAGAAAACCCGCACAACACTATATCGTCCGCAAGGGAATTCTGTGTCGGAACGACTACATTCAACGATGCACGCAATGCTTTCTAATGCATAGATAGTTCAATGAAGCGTGATAACTGAGCATCGCTACTACCAGGTTACCTCAGGAAACGGAGTACTTTCACTGATCAATTAGTATTGCCACAAGCTCTCACGGGCTTAGTTTTGCATTTTACTCATGCACTGTTCGTCATCGCACGCGTGGATCAGGCGCTTGCTGGATGATAGTGCAAAAAAAACATAATGTCGCAAAATGACAAACAATCACGGAAAATTGGTCGCGTGGCCAACCGTGTTAATATCTTGATTCCGTCTTTTTTTGTACTTGAATGGATCTTCGTCGAAAACTCACTCAAGATATAGCCGAGAACCAAGGAGTGGACACAACATAAATGGGGGCCGGTGAAATCGATCTGTCGTTCGCTTGTTGAAACCGTAAAACGTATCCACACGTCGCGTGGTTTCCGTTGGTTTCTTGAACAAAGCTGACAGCGACAATAAGTCATAAGACTCTCTCCTCGCCAGTGTTTTCCCAAGAACACAGAAAATAAAAAATAATAGGGTGTACCAAAAAATGTACAAAAACCCTTTCACCGTCACTATCTCCATGTCCCGAGGGTATGGAAAAAGATAGTGTTAACGTGTCATTACTATCTCCATGTCACAAGGATATGGAAAAAGATAGTGTTAACGTTTTATTACTATCTCCATGTCACAAGGATATGGAAAAAGATAGTGTTAACGTGTCATTACTATCTCCATGTCACAAGGATATGGAAAAAGATAGTGTTAACGTGTCATTACTATCTCCATGTCACAAGGATATGGAAAAAAATAGTTAACGTTTTATTACATACTATCTCCATGTCACAAGGATATGGAAAAAGATAGTGTTAACGTTTCATTACTATCTCCATGTCACACGGATATGGAAAAAGATAGTGTTAACGTGTCATTACTATCTCCATGTCACACGGATATGGAAAAAGATAGTGTTAACGTGTCATTACTATCTCCATGTCACAAGGACATACATGGAAAAAGATAGTTTTAACTCGTCCCCATGTCGTTAAAAATAAAACTCAACATAAAAATGAAACAAATTTGAGCCGCAGAACAACAGCAGATAATTTTTTTGAGCGCTCTATATCTGGCATTGTTGCTCAATTCCTTGCTTCGGTACGTCTTCGCTTCCTAGTTCGGCAGGGTGATGCTTCGTCCCCCTGCTTGTTGAGGGTGCGAACCGAAGTTGTTTTAGGAGGCGCGATAATATCCAAACCACAACGGATTCGGTATGCAGCTATCATTTCTTGACATTGTGGTACCTCATCTGCGCGGTATTCGAGGTCTGACTCCGGGCCATACCCTCGAAGACGCAAACGGTATCGGTAATTAAAAGGAGTCCTCGGACCCCGACCACTTTTGTGGCTTACCACTTTGTCTACAACATAAGACTCAATTCTTGGTTGGGCCTCATCAGGGTGATCGATAGCGGGTAACGGAATCTGTCGCCCTAAAAAGAACTCAGCGAGTTTATCAAAGTCGGGCGCAGGCGGTGTTTTCCTCGAAATATCGTTTAATATGGGCTAGGTGAACCGAAACTTCTCGAGTTTCTTTTGGCCGTCTCACTCGGTATACTACGGGTGATAGTTGCGAGCAGACGACGTATGGTCCCCGCCAAGGTAACAGCAATTTAGGGTTGGGGCCATCGGAATCCTGATATGGTCTGTATACCAGTACTTGATCGCCAGGTTTAAACACGGGAATCGGTCTCAGTTTTGAATTACTCGCCGCTTGCTTTTTTGTACGTTCCGTTAAGTTTCGGCGCGCTAATTCGAAAGCAATTTGTAAATTTTCCCGCGTGTCTTTCGCAAGTTCTTCGGTATTGGCTGTTGTTCCTACATGAGGAATACCGAGAATGATATCGACAGGTAGTCGTGGTTGTCTGCCAAACATGAGGAAAAATGGAGTTTCATGCATGGTAGCACTAAAAGAAGTGTTATGCGCCAGTTGTCAGAATCATGCAGGAGATAAAGCATCTTTTATTTTTAGTTTGATTTCTGTACTTTTGCTATGGACCACATCTATCTTCAACTGAGCTTGACGAACTCGTGTTTTCTCAACACGGAAAATCTGACTCAGACACGGTTGAGGATGTTGCAACACAGTATGACAAAACTTCCAACACCTGTTTCCATGTATATCGTCCAAGGCCTCTAGAAACGCCAAAATACATCCATCCTTAGCAAAGATGAATTTGTGGCGCATAAAGGGGGGGGTGATGTGGATGACAGGTGTAGAAGTGCTGTAACCATTGTTGTTGCACATACAAAAGTAGGACCAAGATACGATCCGAACGGAGGATCTTACTGATGGTTGATCAGCAAGAGACCCGACTGTGGATGCGTCCCTCTTGGCGCCACCTGTGGAGCTTGGGAATCCGAGACCCTCGGGCTTGGTCTCCCTTGCCCCTTCGGCGGGCGCACTCTCTCTTGTCTCTCTCTTCTGAGACCCTCTCCTCTCTAAATCTCGACGAAGAGAACTGCCAGCCCTTAGTAGTGGGAAAAGACTACTGCGACCTGGCTGGGCCTCCCCCCCCAACGAGGGAAGCCTGTGTCCTCACTGGGGCTCCAAATTTGCTGAGATAAGGAAACAGATTTTGAGATAAGAAAGTTTCCTGGAAACTTCCTGCAGGCGAATATTTTTCGATTTAAGGCGGCTTCATGTGATTGGCTGTGGGACGACAGTCACTCAACGAACTTCCCCTGTTCGCAGGTAGGTCCTGCTGTTTTTTGTGGTGCGCTGTGTGACAGCTGCACCCTGATCACAGCGCTCCCACTGCTGTTGAGTGTGCGTGCATGCATGCGTGTGCGTGTCTGTTGCCCCCTTGACGCCAGCACACGAACCCGCACCAGAACAGCGACAGGAAGTACACATACTGCCCGGCAGCCCTGTACGAAGTGCGTATCGCATTTATTTCAAGCGTTGCGGAGAGGAGGGTGTTTTTTTTGGGGCGGGGGCACATCGAAGTCAAACACGCTCTCTCAAGTAGAGCAGAGAATACTCCTTCTTGCGGCGCGTCACCAGAAGGCAACTGCGTGCTCTTCCTCCTCTCTGCCCGTTGCTGGCGGTGCTGCCACCTCCTCTACGTCGTCGGTTGCCGCGGTTCGTTCCGGCGCTCTTTCTCCCCCTTGCCTCAACCTGTGTGTCACGGGCGGGCGCGTGTTGCTGACCTAAAAGGCCGCGCAACAACCAACCCCAACTTGGTTTTCTGACCGTGCAGCCTCCCGCTTTCTGTGTTGGTGGCGCGCCAACTCCAGGGCCTTTGCGCTGGGCGCTGGGTTTTATTTGGGCGGCCGCTGGACATGCTCTTGCAGACTGTGTGTGCGTGTGGGTGGTGCCTGATGATGTGTTGTGTGTGGTGCCTGATCTGTTATTTCAAAGAAAGCTGCTAAATCGAAAAAAAGTTGGCAAAATTTTCCACAAAAAAACGAGCCTCCCTCCGCTGTTAAATCTGATTATTTTCCCCTTATCTTGGGTTCTGGCGAGACTGTCAGGAACGATCCTCAGAACGATGGCTTAACTCAAAATATATTTCCTTATTTCAGTTTTTTTTTTGGTTCCGAAACTGTCTAATAATAATGGCTTCTGGAACGAATGATGAATGAATGCAGTCATCATCTTTATTTAGCATTTTTCCTAACAAAAAGTAACTGAAGCAGCGAAGAGTGGCTGAGCGTGCATGCAATAGAGGACAACACATTTCGTATGTTGTTTTTGAGGAGACTGACTACTGGTGGTCGACTACTGTAGCCAGCACTAGATTCGAAAAAATTGAGTCAATTTGCAGCGGCACGTCACGTGTCTCCGTTTCCCGACAAACGCCGGGTTTTCTCTGGGAACACCCGACGACTCGGAGAAAAGGGCTTCAACCAGAATAAATATTTATTTGCCCAAGCCTATCATTCGCGGTAAACGAACGCACTGGACGGGACGCGATCATTTTCAGCGAAAGGGCGCGCACAGTCCCTGTCGGTGTGAACTCCCTTGGAACAAATAACAGAAGGGCAACCTTTCGACGACTGCTGTGTTACTTGCGTGGAAGAGGGGAAAAGAAGGGGGAAAAGCCCTGAGCCAAAGCAGCACGGTTTGGTTTTTGTGTCCCTCGCCACATGTTGCGGGATTACACGTACGTATAGCGACCCCTGGAGGCAGACCCTGATGAAAACTCCCTTGTTTTTTAGTTAATCTCGGGACTCACTGCAGTTCTTGCTGTTGCCTTGCTCTCAAAGGTAGACTGAGCACAGAGAGGGGGAACCTGCTCCCTCTAAAAAAGGGGCCACAATGGTCCTGTCCCCTGATTTATCGTTCAATCGGGAGCTACTATTACATGTGCCGCACTTCTTCCTCAGGGAATTACTCCGCAATACCGTTGATAAATTCAAACCCCATAACAAACACCTCCCGGGGGCTTTACTCCGGCAAATATGCGCCTGGAAGCTACACATGACAAAATAGCAAATTCACTCCTGAAGAGCGGTGAAAATATCGATGTATCGAGAAGAAATATTACATACAGAAGAATGTCGTGTGTGCCGCTTCGCGGGTACTGCTGTATGTAGCCCCCGGCTTCATCCGAATGAAGCACACGATCCCTCTTGAGGGTGAGTCTTGCAGATGGAATGCTAGGGTAAGCGATAGCGCGAGGAGGGTGAAAAACCGAACCGGAAAAAAGACAGACGAAATAAATAGAGAGGGCATCGAAAAAAAAATGTCACTACGAGCGTCAGGGGTGGGTCCCTTAGTACATGAACGGTGTACTCGCGGATTGCAGCTGTTACAAAAATGAAGCTCGTGCTGTTTGTACGCAATGCATGCTTAGACCACCCAGAGAACCAACGTGCACGCAAGGGTTAGCTGACACATGCATGGCAGGCGGATAGGTGCAAGCAAGGTCGGGTAGCAAGGTTGAGACGTGCTCGGTAAACACTCTTTTTCGTCGCGCAACTTCCGGTGTACCTCCGTATCGCGAGTAACCCACCACAACGGAGACAACGCCCAGCAAGACAATTATCCTCGACCCACGAACTACCCACCAGCAGCAGCTGTCGTCCTCACGCCCACGGACGGACGGGCCCTTGGCCCTCAGCCAGACAAAATCACACACACATACACTTTGGAGATGATTTTGCTCTCTCGTGACAAAACCTCGGACAATGCCGCGTTTTCAACCCCCGGAGCAGCACACAAACACATTTCTCAAGGCGCATTCTCATGGTTCGCCCGGCTGCCAAGCCTAGGACGTGCTCGAGGAAACGAGACATCAATTCATGGTTCACCCGTTTGCCAAGCTTCGGGCTTGCTCAAGGAAAAGTGACGTCACCAAGAGGGAACACACACACGAAACGGCGAACCCACGGGGGCAGGCACCGTGGGTTCCCCGTTACGGCCGCTTTGGTCGGGAAACCCGACACGGAAGTAGCTCTCGGCCGCGCCCGTGGTTGCGCGGTCCTACTCAAGGCCATCCACGATAACCACGGGTGGGTGTCCAAATCCAAACCACCACCACCGACGGCCATATTAACCTCCGCCAACCTCGCCAGCGACCGACCGAACAGAGACCGTCACAAGAAATGCGACTTTCGCAGGGTTCGGTAAACCCTGTAGGTGGCTAAAGCGCCTCCCGTGACACCCGCCAGGAGCACGAAGAACGGTAATCTCCACCTGAACGGGACATAATTGAGGGGGACGAAAAGGTCGTTTGAGTTGGTCTAGCGCGTGTGGGGGGCTGTGAAGGTGCTTTTTCGGGGGAATGCGCCGCAACCGGTGGGATAGAGCGACCTTAGTATCTGCTCCAAGAACGCACAAAGGAGAAAAGACCAGCAAGTAAACCAGCCCGAACAATCGAGAGCAGTCTTCCTCACGTGAAGGAAGCTTGTCTGCGAACACTTAGAAGCTGGCAAACGTCGTTCGCGCTCATGGACAGAGTTTCCTCATATTTTCGCCCAGATCAAGAGGTACCAGTATGCACGTACTCATCGTAAAAAATACGAAAACGACAGCGTGGAAGGTACATAACTACGGCCAACAGGGCTAGGGCACACGTGAAACCTTTGGCACAGATAAAACAATCAACTTGCCTTACACGTTGAGTAGGGGAGGTGGTTGGCAAAGGGCGGGTGAAAAGTTCTCGGCAAAGATGGAATAATCAACATGTCTTACTGCTCCTCCTGCCGTAGGGCGCGTGAACCGGCCTGGCACCTACCCGACCTACAACACAGCAGAGGCCCCCTCACGGAGGGCAAGACACACCCGCCTCTTCACCTCTTCCCCAGCAAAACACAGCAGCAGACGAAAAACGCACCATAATGTCGGCTTTGTGCGACCCTCCCACTCACAGTCGTCATTCTCGATTTCGAATGGGGTGCGCAGGCATGATCCAGTCAGCTACTTATCAACCACCCGACGCAAACCAAAGAGTATGACCCCCCCTACCCCTCCCCTACGTAGCCCCCGGGTCTGCTTTGCTATGCCCTGCTCTCACTCACCCTCTTGCCGCCGCGTGAGCCTCCCCTATGCCCGTCTCCAGGCTACTCTCTAGCTGCCGCTTGATCTTGATTTCCAATTCTCGAACCTGCGGGGGAGAGAGACGAAGAAGAACAAAAGACACTCAATGGACTACCACATTAGAAATGAGAAAAGCGTGCAAATCATCTGTAGGAAACAATCGCAGTCTTGGTTAGCAATCTTGGAAAAAAAATAAACAATCGTCGTGGTACAAACCATTTTTTTTTCTTCTTCGGCTTGAGCTAGAATACGACACACAGAAACAAAGAAAAAACGACACCTAGGGCGACGCCTACACATGCCACCGTAAGGCCCGAGAGAACCACTGCACCACGTGCACGGCCACCGCCGTCCTGGAAGGTGACAATGAAAAAATCTGCAAACAACTGCGAGGAACCAAGCACGTACTGCAAACAACTCAAGCGTGGATGACGCACGGGTGTATAGAGAGATGACGTCACCACTAGCGCGCAAACACGAAAGTTTATGAAGATATGATGCCAAGGTTAAGGTTGGACAAGATACCCCGCGCTACATAAAAATATATTCGACTCTTCCAAAGCCATTTGCTGCGGCAAGGACCGGCAATTTCTCCGTCTGTCTGTCTGTCTGTCTGTCTGTCTCTCTCTCTCTCTCTCTCTCGATCTTCTGAGACCTCCTCCTTGCCAAACGTCACGAAACGAAGACTCGGTAGAGTGGGAAATCCTAGAATACCACGAGACCTGGCTCTCCTTTCTACCGAAGTCAACCTGCGTCCTAAAAGAAACAAATGACGTATCATAGGCGAGGCTAAGGGGGTGTACTGGAAAGACAGACGCACCTACGCATGCCTGTGTACCGCATCCCCCCAAAAATACGAACAAAAACAGCCAATGAAAAATCAACATGCCGACGAGACCAACAACGTAAAAAAAAAAAAAAGACAGACACAATCAACCTAAAAATCAGGACACAAGAATGCTCCGTACTGCTGTGCAAACACCAAAACGTCCAACCTAAGACATCCAAACACGAAACGACACAGCATGAAAATGAACCACGAACACAACACGGGGTAGCTTAGCCTGTCCCGTGACACCCCCTCACGGGGTCCCAGCTCATGGCCTACGGAGGCGTTTTTTTATTTCGATCGCGCCCTGAGACTGGCGTCTTTTCATTGGTCAGCCGGTTAGCGCGGTCGACGCAAAAATACACGCACCTTTCTCTCGAGCACCTCCATGCTATCCATCAAACCCTTTTCGTTCTTCGACGTCTTTTCGAACAGCTCCTGCACGTGCTCCTCCACTTTCGCCACGTTGTGCTCCTGCTCCAGAGTAGCGGGAGCGGACACCCACAACAACAAACAACAAAAAAACAGGACAAAAAACGGTTTAAAATCATACACTGGGTAGCGGGTGTAGACATGCACGAAAACATTTCACAGGTTGTAGTACCGCAGGTTGCATATGATATCACACACACCCCGGACTAATTTTCAAAGCTCGATTACTCCACGACGAAGAGGATGCCAAAATCAAAGCGTGTGTTTGTCGGAAAGCTCTCCACGGGACGGTTCCAACGCCTCCCGCCGTTTTCGGCAGCGTCACCGCTTTGCCTGCCGAGAAATCGAGCTTCGAAAATCGGTCCATGGTGTTAGATATCTTGTGCAACCTACGGTATGCGTGCAGGACTTGCACGCCTAGGTACGTTGCACGGCTAGGCATGCTACACGGCTATGCGCCACTTGCATTTCTCGGGCATTCCAGCACACAATTCTTCAAACAAGTGTTGCAGCAGTACAGTGCTGCACCGAGAACTATGCCCTCCTTCATGTTCAACAGAGGTATTGTCGGGCAGCCCACCGCTGACATCCAACCACTTCCCCTCCCCAGTGGCGCGAACATCTTCTTCCGCAGTGGGCTTTGTGAGAGCACAGCAGCGTCATCAACGGGTCATGATGCAAAACGAAAGGAGAAAGCTCGAAAAGCCGACCGCCAGCGAGCTATCCACCTTGCCCAAGCTCGAACAGCCCACACGGCTATCTCATGGTGTTTCGACTCCGAGACGACGTCGAGGTCGATTTCCTCTTTTCTATTTGCTCAAACCTGCCGTACACAGCAGTCTCTATTTATTGTTCGCCCCCAGCTATTCTGGGGGGCAGGGTAGACTACACCTTTGGGCATACTATTTTCTGTTTCATTTTTGCGTAGACAGCACCTTTCGGCATACCCTTGTGTTTTTTTTGCGCAGACTGCACCTTCGGCATACTTTTGTTTAAATTTCGTAGTCTACATGTTCGTTGTGCGAACAGCCCACCTGCTTGACATCCATCAGCTCCATCTTGACCAGCATCGCGTTCATCACGTTTTCTGCATTGGACACGCGCTCCAGAAAAGGAACAGTCTGCACAAACACACACACACAAACAGGGGGGGGGGGGGGGGGGGACAAAAGTTTTTGCAACCCTTATTTCCAAAACATGGGCCCAAACGGGGGGGGGGGGGGAAAGGGCCCTGAACCCCCCCCCCCCCAAAAAAAAAACCAACAAAATTTCCCCCGATTTTGGGGGGAAAAAAAAACCGCTAAAACGATGTTCCGGAACCCCAAAAAAAAAGGGCCAC